ACACACACACACACACACACACACACTATTGGGTGACTTAAAGCAACCTTGTAACTATTTCTTAGTCTCTGTCTCATTTCTTTGCGTGTGTGTGTGTGTGTTTTGTACCAGGGATGAAACTCGGGACCTTGTGCTTATGAGGTAGGCAATGGCATCACTGAGCTAAATCTCCGGCCCTTCTGTTTCCTTATTTGCAAAACAGTACTAAGAACAGTTGTGAGACTCAAATACAATGGTACATATAGAGTGCTTAAAACACACACAAACACACACACACACACACCATTCACCACTGTATTTATTGCTATCAAGACAGGAGCAATGAAGATGATATATGACTTATTCACTGCCAGTATAGTAGGTATCAAAAAATGTTCACTCCCTCTCCCCAAAAAAAGATAAGCAAAAAAATGTTCACTCCCTTTCCTAAAATACCAAGTCAATGATTGCTACTCCAAACAGATTTTCTTAAAAATCACAGCTGACTAGGGCCGGGGATTTAGCTCAGTGGTTTCGCTGCCTGCTGCGCAAGCACAAGGACCTGAGTCCAAACCCTGGTATCAAAAGAAAAAAAAAAAAATCACAGCTGACTAATAGTAACATTTTGCATATCAAAAGATACGCATAACCATGAAAGGGAGGTTTCAAAAGAAAATAATTAGCGTTTAAAAATACACCTATGGGGGGCCGGGGATTTAGCTCAGTGGTTCCACCACATGCCGGGAAAGCGCAAGGACCCAAATTCAATCCCCGGTACAAAAAAAAAAAATACACCTATAGGCCAGGCATGATGACACACACCCGTAATCCCAGCACTTACGAGGCTGGGCCAGGAGGATCTCCGAAAGTTTGAGGCCAGCCTGGTCTACAGAGTGAATTCAAGGCCACCTTAAACTACAAAATGAGACTGTTTTAAAAAAAAAAAAAATACACCTACAGTGTATAAGATACTGTGTCTTTAATGACAGAAGAATTACGCCTTTACCACAATCTAAACCTATTTTTTTCTATGAAGTTCAGGACTCTCATTCCCTCCCTTTCAAAGCAACAACAGTCAATGGGTGCACAAACTGACTGACACTCATAGATACTGCAGGCTGAATTGTAGGGATAGTTGTTTTGATAGGTTGATATTTTTTTCATTAACGAAATTGGAGAGAGAGCAGCCAACTCTTTCCTGCTCTTCCCACCATCTCCTCCACACCCGCATTCCACATAGCAACTTAAAGGGCCCTGTCACAGGAACTAAAAATTAACGTGTAAGAAAACTGAACCACATTTAGCAAAATGCAAATTGTCTATTTACATTTCTTAAAATGTGTACAAGGGCCAGGGATTTAGCTCGGTTCCGCCGCCTGCCTCGTGCCTGCCTCGCTAGTGCAAGGTCTCGAGTTTGATCCCCTGTACAAAAAAAAAAATTGTACAAGTTATTTCCTCAAAAACTAAAGAATGAGCATTAAAGCTGGTTTCAAAAGAGAAGTGGCTGAACAGAAAACACTAGAAATAAAAACTGTATAAAACACTCAAGAGGCTGAGATAGGAGGATCATTGAGAGTTCAAGGCCAGCCTGGGCTACACTGTGAGAACTTGTCTCAAAAAACAAACATTCAAAAAACAAACAACAAAAAAGGCTTGTTTTTTTTAAGTGGGAGAGGAAAGGCAACTACCAATCACTGATTTCTCCCCCCGCCAAGCCCTGTTTTCTAAAACGCCAGGTTCGCCTCCAGGATAGTCTTCTTGGTGTTCAACCAATCCCCACCTTTTCTGAGTTAACCAGTCTCCAGGCAAGCCGCGCTCCTCGATTGGCTTAAAAAAGTCGAGTAGAAAAACCAGCCAATCCTGCCTTCAAGTCAGAACTGTGCTATGGAGACATTACAACCGCTGCAAGGCGAGAATGTGCACAAACCTGTCCGGGCCACAAATATCAGATCCTACCTCTCAAGGCCGTTGCCCAAAGGAAGATGCTTTAAAGCCAATCCTGACCGCGATCTGGAAGCTACATTTTCTTTTTAATTCCTCGGGGGGGGGGGGGGGCTTTAAAATACAGAAGTAACCAAAACCTCTTGAGAAACTACCCCCGGGTGAGATGACTCACTCTATCGCTGCCGGATTTCCACGCGGAGAGAAGGTCCCAAGCCCGAAGGGCTCCAGGACGGTCCCGCCCGGCAGGCTCAAAGTTGTAGATGGGGATGGGGAGTGGACGAGGATCAGGACGCACAACTGTGCACAGGGAGGGAACCGTGTCCTCGCGGTACCCCAGATCCGAGGATGCGGAGGAGTTGCCGTGTTTAGGTGTTGAGAAGTGAGTAAATAAGCAGCTCCGCTAGGACTCCGTGCTCGGAAAGGTGGCCTCAAGTTCCCAGAAGGGTTTGCCCGGGAAACACCGTGGGCACCGCAAGAGCAAGTGCGGGCGGAGCGGGGGCAGCCCGGGGAGCAGAGGGGTGTGCCCGGGGCCTGGAGGCCCGCCAGGCGCGGCGAGGCCGAAGAGCCTTCGCCGGCCTCGGGCGCAGCGCCAGGGCCCGCCTTCCGCCGACGCCTCACTTCCCGTCCGTCCGGCGGCCAGGCCCGGGGGCCGGACACCCCGCGCCGGTCCCCGAGCTCGGAGCTGTACGTTCGGCCGCAGCAACCCCCGCCGCTACCTCAGGGCCTCCGCTTCGGCTCGGCGCCCCGGGACCTCTTCCCTCCCGGCCCTCAATCCGAGCCGGCCGCCTACTTCCCACCCGCCGCCTTTACCTGCTCCCGCAGCGGGCGGAGGGCGTCCGGACCGGGGCAAAGTGGGACCGCAACCCTTTCCCGCCGCCGCCACTGCGCTCTATCCGTTGCGGCTGGGTCAGCGGGCAGCTGCGGCCGCGGGGGGGGGGGGGGACTCGCGGCGAGCGCGCCAGCGGAGAGACACTGCCGCTCTCCGTCTGGCCGGGGAAGAGCAGCCTCGCAGGACCAGCCGCGAGATGGCGGGTGGGCGGCCGGGTGGGGAGGGGTCTCGGGACCAGGCAATGGTCGCCAGGTGGCTCGCCGCCCCCTCCGCGCCACGATCTCTGGCCCACGTGTCCCGCACTGTCCAGGGCGCCCGGCCTGCCCCGAGCCCGCGGGCGCCTCCACTTTCCCGCTCCCTCAGGACAGCGAGCTCCGGCACGCCGGGTTCCGCAGCGATCGACCCTGCACTCGTGAGGGCTCGCCCGGAAGTCTGTGGCGCGGCCCCCGCTCCGGCCCGGCGGGACGAGGGGAGGCGTGAGCTCCTCTCAGTGTGGCCGTTCTCGGGGAAAGCGGGAGTCGTTTCGCCCTGCGAAATGTGGCGACACGGAGCCCGGAATTTGTACCGAAATAAGCGGCTCGGTGAACCGCAGCAGTTCTGAGCCCTGGTCAGTCCCTCTCCCAAGCACGAAAAACAAAGCGGGAGGTCGCGCTGGCCGGGCTAGGGGACAGGGCGGGACGGGGGAGGGGTCCCTCGGCAAGTTGCGGGGGATAGCGCGCCAGGCTGGGAGACAAAGGGAGCCAGAGCGCAGCGCCACGGAGCGAGGCCTCCCGGTCGCCACGCGCGGGCTGAACTCGTGGGCGGAAGCACAAAGGCGCACGCACTCGCACGTGGACCGCGAAGCGGCCTCTGCAAGCCGGGGAGCGCGAGTTTGCGGGCGCCCAGGAGAGGCAACCGTGTGCTCTGGTGATCGGTGTTAGCTGCTGTTAGCCTGTTCCCCAAGCATGCTCCATTTTTTCCCCCTAAACTCTGCTTTCCGTGTTCTGACATGAAATGTTCAGTGTTTTCGGAGTGAGAAAAATTTCACCCTAGCTTTACGATTGAGAGTGGTGGGGTGGTTTTGCCTGTCTGTTGTTTCCTTCCTCTGTACTGTCTTTGCATTTACTACGTATTCCATTTTCACTATTTTTTCGCAGAACAGAGAAATGAAATACTCTCGTAACACAACATTCCTTTACATCAGAGAGATACATTGTGGCAGTTGCTTTAAACAAAACGTAAATTTGGAGAAAGTGCAAGTGTAGATCTAATTGGAACATTCACACACAGAACATTCTCATGGTTTTTCTAGAAACCAGTAAGATGTAACCAGAGACCTCCGGATGGTAAATTTTCTGATGAAAACTACAAGGAAAAAAATACTTTTTTGTCTTTTTAGAGATCTCTTGAGTTCCAATGTTAAGAAATGACTACAAACATCTTTATTAATGCTTTTATTAAATGTCAAAAACAAAAAAGTATAACCTAGAATCTCAAGATATAAATAGCAGTTGCTGAGAACCTACCATTAACTCTGCCTCTAAACAGCCATTTAAAAAGACTAATAACTGTAATGATATGACATTTTTGAAGTGAAAGAACCCCAGTAATTATAAACCTCAAACAAGTCTAGCAAGTTAATATTAATTTTGTTCATATGAAATATGTTCAACATGATAATAAAAACTTGTATTTAAATTATTGATTTTCCTTTGAACATTTGTTAAGAATTTATCACATCTTGAGTCTGAACGGTAAGAAATACAATGTTCTTACATTGGAGATTATATTTCAAGGCACAAAGGCAACACCCAGGCTAAATTTTTTTTTAATTGCTTACTATGTCAATAAAAGAAAAGACATCAATACCATAAAGTTTTGAAAGTCAGAATCAGATGAAGAACAAAGCAGTCTTTACTCAAAATTTACCATGCCAGTCTTCCTTTGTGAGTAGTTATAAAGCTTTCCTCCTTGCCTATTGGTTCCATCTCTAAGCCAATAGGAAAAGTACAACACATCTTTCAAAGAGTGAGACAGCGTTAGGTTAGTACATGGAATAAGTAGATTGTTTATCCTGCTCATTGTCCTTCTAGAGCGTGTATCTTGTAATTGCAAAAAAAAAAAATTAAAGAAACTTTATTGACTGTCTTGATGTGGCTCTTATTCCTGCTCACACTCCACTCTAATCTTCCTAGTTGGTTTTATTACAATTGGTTGTAATGAATTCTGTAACAACATTGAATTCTCTAAAATTCTAGGTGACTATAAGGAATGGCAGAATGCCCACTAGCTAGCACTTTAAATGAAGTGAATTGGTACTGGGTTTTTTTGGTACCAGGGATCGAACTTGGGTCCTTGCGCTTGCAAGGCAGGCAGCGGAACCACTGAGCTAAATCCCTGGCCCTGGTACTGGTATTTTAAAGGAAGGGCTAGCCTTTAAAGAAATAATAAAGTTTATATTTTGGAAAACGTCTTCATTTTTGTAAATAAAATTATTTTGTAAATAAAATAATGAATAACCCTTTTACATTTGTCAAAGCCTCCTTTCGTCTACTTAAAAGCTAAATTCTAAACCTTCTTTGCCTGGGGATTTAGCTCAGTGGCACAGTGCCTGACTCACAAGCGCAAGGTCCTGAGTTTGATCCCCGGTACAAAAAAAAAGTTACTAAACCTGCTTGTTTATGTTTATTTCAAACAAGTATGATTTCCTTCCAATCAAAAATAATCTGTGCCACCTTTGTGCTTTGATTTTAACTCGCGGTCTTTTGCTTAATCATAATTACAAGTATTTATGTCTTTATAATCTCCTTTACTAGATCATCAGTTATTTAAAGAAAGGTTATTTCCCATTTAGCCTTATATTCCTTATTGCCAAACTCGGAGCCTTGTACAGAATAAACAGTCTATGGATGTTTGTGGAATGAAAACATGACCATTACTAAGAGACCCTGTCTCAGGATTTTCCCTCTCTGTAATAGCTGATATTCATTCCCACTTAAACTCAGCTTAGAATTTTTGTTTTGTTTTTTGGTTTTTTGATTGTTTCATTTTACTTATGAGTTACAATATGTAAGACAAGGCACCATTTCTTATGAGTTCAAAGATAAATAATTCTACCTGTCAATGTATGGGGGTAGCTTATTAACAGAAAATGGAAACTAGAGGTCATGAATGACCATTGAGGTCTTAAGTTTTTTCAGAATTGTTTGAATTTGATTTTGTTTTCTTGTTTATTTTTTCCTAACCTTTGATTCCACCATGATGCTAATTCTGAAAAAGTTTGTACACTCTTCTACTGTGTCATTTAAATGTTTACAGAAGTTTAAATAGCCTCTGCCGAGCTGCTTATTAAAATATATTTAAAATTTGCTCATAAATCCCTTAGAATATTAAGTTTAAAAGTTTGAAATAGGGGCCTGGTATAAAAGTTTGAAATAGTAGCTCAGCGGCATGGTGTCTGCCTGGAAAGCTCAAGGCCCTGAGTTCAATCCCCAGTACCAGAAAAATAAGTTCCTGGGGCCAGGAATTTAGTTCAGTGCCACCGTGCCTGCCTTGAAAGCCCAAGGTCCTGAGTTCAATCCCTGAAAAACTCATACAGAAATGAAAGATGAAAAAAATGAAAGGTGGAAGAAGAAATATGTGTAGTGATATTGTTATCTAACTTATAGATTGTTTCAAGAGAAAATGGTCTGATTCATAAGAAATATTCAGACACATAAAACAACCCAATGCTTCAAATAACTAAACACCTGCATAGCATAGCAATGCATAGCATTGTCTTTTGTTGTTGTTTGCTTTGTTTGGTTTTGTTTTAAGACAGGGTCTCACTATATAGTTTAGGCTGGTCTTGAACTCACTATGTAGTCCAGGCTGGTCCGGAACTCCTAACAATCCTGCTTCACCTCCCAAGTGCTGGGATTACAGGCATGTGTCACCATGCCTAGCCAGCATAGAATTGTTGAAAGAATTTTTCTACAAAAAAGTAGTGGCCAGATGTGGTGGTGCACATCTGTAATCCTAGCACTCCGAGGCTGAAACAGGAGAATTGCTTCAAGTTTGAGGCCAGCCTGGTCTATAGAGCAAGACCCTGTCTCAAAAAACAAGAAAATAAAAGAAAAGAGGGCCAGCATATACTGGAACTTCTGTTTTTTTAAATTTTCAATTTGATGGAAACTGAATAGTAGATCATATTGCTATCTAAAGAAAGTTAAGTTTCAGTGAATTTATCTTCCTGCAAGATTACTTTGTCACACTCAACAGGTGCTGCCAGTTCTGTGGCCTTGGAAAAATTACTTAAGGTCTCTAGGACTCAATTTTCTCTTCACTCAAGTGGTATTCAAAATATTTACCTTAATTAGCTACTTAAAATAATGAATACATGTGCCCCAGGTATGGTGGTGCACACCTATAATCCCAGTCTCAAGAGGCAAAGGCAGGAGGATTGCTGCAAGTTCAAGGGCAGCCTGAACTGTATAGTAAGATCTTGTCTCAAAATACAAAAAAAAAAAAGTGAAAAATGTTGGCATTCCAGTTATACATCTAAGTTGCACATTTCTTATAAACTCTTATTACTCTGTGCTTTTCCTTTAAATAATCAGAGCTTTTATGATATCAGTGTACTTACAAACTTTAAGTGTGAGATACAGAGGTAGAGTAAATATTTTCACTTTCTTTAC